GTATTAGCTGGGCTTGAAAAAAGCATAGAAGACACTAAAGAATCCCTTACTGCAGAGAAAAAAGAACTAAAATCTAGCCAGTCGAAACTAAAAATGCTAGAACTGAGTTGCAATCCCCAATGGAGGCCTTTAAAAAAAAATGAGGATGGACAAAGCAGAGGAGTAAATCAGTGATACAGAAGATAAAATTATGGAAAATAATGAAGCTGAAAAGAAAGGTCATGGACCACAAAGGTAGACTTTGGAAACTCAGTGACTTACTAAAATTGTAATAATATTTGTATCGCAGGAGTCCCAGAAGATAAAGAGAAAGGCAGAAGGTTTATTTGAACAAATTATCACTGAAAATGCCCATAGTCTGGGGAAGTACACAGACATCAAAATCCAAAAAGCACAGAGAACTCCCACTAGATTCAACAAAGGCCGATCATCACCAAGGCTCATATAGTCAAAAATCACAAAATACACAGACAAGGAAAGAATCACGAAAGCAGCGAGGGAAAAAAGGGTCCTTAACCTACAAGGAAAGACAGATCAGATTCGCATCATATCTGTCCACAGAAACAAGGCAGGCCAGAAAGGAGTGGCAAGAAATATTCAACGTACTGAATGCGGCAAATATGCAGCCAAAAAGTCTTTATCCAGCTAGGCTGTCATTCAAAATAGGAGGAGAGATAAAGAGTTTCCCAGACAAAAACTAAAGGAGTATGTGACTATTAAACTAGCCCTGCAAGAAATTTTAAGGGAGATTCTTTGGAGGGGGGGAACAAAATCCAAAGCAACAAAGACTACAAACAATGGCACTAAATTCATACATTTCAATAATCACTCTGAATGTAAATCAACTAAATGCTCCAATCAAAAGACACAGGGTAGCAGGGTAGCAGTGTCAAAAGACACTAAGCAGTAGCTTGGTTGGTTAAGCATCTGACATCGGCTCAGGTCATGATCTTGTGGTTCGTGGGTTCAAGCCCCATGTCGGGCTCTGTGTTGACAGCTCAGAGCCTGGAGCCTGCTTCACATTCTGTGTCTCCCTCTCTTTCTGCCCCTCCCTCACTCATGCTCTGTCTCTATCTCAAAAACAAACAAACATTAACAAAAATTAAAAAAAAAAAAGACATAGGGTAGCAGAATGGGTAAAAAAATAGATTCCATCTATCTGCTGCCTACCAGAGACTCATTTTAGACCTAAAGACACCTGTAGATTGAAAGTGAGGGGATGGAGGACCATCTACCATGTTAATGGATGTCAAAAGAAAGCGAGAGTAGCCATACTTATATCAGACAAACTAGATTTTAAAACAAAGACTATAACAAGAAATGAAGAAGGGCACTCTATCCTAATTAATGAGTCTTTCCATCAAGAAGATCTAACAATTTAATTATGTTCCCAAAATGAGAGCACCCTAATATATAAATCAAGTACTAACAAACATAAAGGAACTCACTGACAATAATACAGTAATAAAAGGAGACTTTAATACCTTTAATACCACTTATAGCAATGGACGGATCTAAGCAGAAAATTAACAAGGAAACAGTGGCATTCAATGACACACTGAGCCGGATGGACTTAACAGATACATTCAAATCATTTCATCCTAAAGCAGAACACACATCCTTTTCCAGTGCACATGGAACATACCAACTCACAAATCAGCCTTCAACCAGTACGAGAAGATCAAGATCATACTATGCAGATTTTCAGACCACAGTGCTACAAAACTTGAAGTCAAACAATACAAAATGTGGAAAGCCCTCAAATACATCAAGGATAATAAAGAACATCCTACTAAAGAAAAAAATGGGTTAACCAGGAAATTAAAGAATAAAAAAATTCATGGAAGCAAATGAAAAGACAACGGTCCATAACCTTTGGGATGCAGCAAAAGCAGTCCTGAGTGGGCAGTATACTGCAATTCAGGCCTATTTCAAGAAGGAAGAGAGGATCCAAATACACAACAGAACCTTAAATCTAAAGGAGCTAGAAGAGGAACAGCAACTGAAACCTAAAACCATTAGAAAAAAAGGAAATAATAAAGATTAGAGGAGAAGTAAACGATATAGGAAAAAAAAAAAACAACCCCAAAAACAGAACACATCAATGAAACTAACTACTGGTTCTATGAAAGAATAAACAAACTGATAACCTCCTAGTCAGGCTTATCAAAAAGAGAGGACCCAAATAGATAAAATCACAAATGAAAGAAGAGAGATCACAATCAACACCACAGAAATACAAAAATTATGAGAATACTTTAAAAAATTATATGCCAACAAACTGGGAAATCTGGAAGAAATGGACAAATTTCTAGAAACTCACAAACTACCAAAACTGACACTGGAGGAAAGAGAAAATTTGAACAGACCCATACATAGCCAGCAAAGAAATTAAATCAGTACTAAAAAAAATCTCCCAACCACCAAGAGTCCTGGGCCAGATGGCTTCCCAGGAGAATTCTACCCAGACATTTAAAGAAGAGTTAATACCTATTGTTCTCAAACTGTTCCAAAAAACAGAAATGGAAGGAAACTTCCAAACTTATTCTACAAAGTCAGTGTTAACCTTGATTATAAAACCAAAGACCCCACTAAAAAGGAGAATTACAGGCCAATATCCCTGATGAACATGGATGCAAAAATCCTCAACAAGGTACTAGCAAACTGAATTCAACAGTACATTAACAGATTTATTCACCATATCTAATGGGATTTATTCGTGAGCTACAGGGCTGGTTCAATATTTGCAAATCAATCAACGTGATACACCACAATGATTTAAAAAAAATAAACCAAAACAAAACCATATGATCCTGTCAAATGATGCAGAAAAAGAATGGCCAAAATATAGTATCAATTCTTGATAAAAACACTCAACAAAGTAGGGACAGATGGGACATACCTGAACATCTTAAAGGCCATTTATGAATGACCCACAGCTAGTATCATCCTCACTGTGTTGAAACTGAGAGCCTTTCCCCTACGGCCAGGATCAAGACAAGGATGTCCACTCTCACCACTACTATTTAACACAGTACTGGAAGTCTGTGTTAAAAACATATGAATATATGGGGGGTGAAAAGAGAAGAGAGAGAAACAAACCACAAAAATGCCCAGCAAATCGTATAAATCAAGGCTTTGTTTCAGAGTCAGTTAACTACTACCTTCCAGAGGCCACTGACTTGTATGTTTCCTTTCCAACAAGACCACAGAAATGTGGCTCCTTGCCTCCATGAGCATCATCTTGAGAGAATACTAATTTCCTCCATCCTCTACCATACAGAATCTTGCATATTTTACTTAAAACTGAGAACATTCCTTTAAGAAAAACGTGTTTTACCATTTCTAAGACACACCTTTGTTAAAAAGTGTTTAATACAAAAAACAGACATTTCAAAAACTTCAAAATGTCTATAACCCCCAAACCCACGTTCCCAGAGAGAATCATGGTCAGCGCTGTGGTCCCTGGACCAGACTCCGATTCCAGCAGAGGTGTGTCTATTCCCAAGCTACTTATTCTCTTAAACTCAGTGACATCTTCTAGCCCTGCTCTGTACCAAAGTCTATGATTAAGTCATGGAAGATCTAAGAAGCTCTCTGTCCAAATACATCATCAATGCTGATCACATAATAGGTGACAGGCATTTACTTATACTCTGGTCATTTATTCAGACCTTATAAGTTTGCCATTATTATCTTCACTTTCCCTCTTAGAAAGCCAACTTGGAGAGGACTCACATGATCTGACAAAAACCATACAGCATATAATTTACTCAACTATTTGCTCATATTTATCTGGCTCAAAAGCCTGTTGCCTGACCACAGTTTATGAGTTATGTCCTCATGGTTTCAAATGTCTCAGAAAAACAGGAACCCCAGATGGATCACCACTTGCAGAAAGAGAAAGGATAAAAAGGGTGGAGGGTGTGTAAGTAAGGGTAGCGAGAAAAGGGATGGAGTCCTTCGGGGGCATCGCTCCCACCCTTCAGTGCATAAGGCTGGCCTGGAGCTAAAGGGGACCAGAGGAGAGCAGAACTTCCTGCAGAAGAGCCTTTGCATCCTCCCTTTTGCCATGGGGTATGGACTTCCAGGAGCTTGAAGGTTTGGGGTCTGGGCATGAGGCCAACAGAGAAGATGTGTGAGGCAGAGGGCCAGCCTTCAGTGGTGGGAGGAATATTTGGCCCCAGTGGCTGCAGTGAATCCATCCTCTCTAGCTGAGACAATACTTGGGTTGGGAGACCATTCACTCTCCTCATACTGAGTTTCTAGAGCTTCTGAAGATGCTGGACAGACTACTGCCATAGGGATCCATCGGCTGAGAAGTTCACCAGTTTTAGGTGGTGGAACCCATCAACTTCAGAGAGGGCCATCACGGGCCCCTCAAGGAAATGTCCACAACTCCCAGGAAATGCAGAGCCTTCAGCGTGGACAAGCACTACCTATCTGTCACTGAAGGCAGGAAAAGGATCCAAGCCAAGGTTGTGTTGGAAGAATAATGAAGAGAAGTCAGTTTCCTCAAAGATCTATGACTCGGACTTGGACATTTTAGAGTTGTGCAGTTCTAGATTTGTCAGGAATTGGGGAAGTGTGGTGACTCGAAGCATCCTCAAGTGTGCAACATGCAACCAGAGTTTAATCAGGCGGGGGCATCTCTATTCAACTTCCTTAATTAAAGGTGGAATGATTTCAGAACCATTTATGCCTTAGATCAGAGGCATCCCACACTAAAGGACTGGAATCCTCATAACACGTTTCTCCAGAGGAGATGCCTCACAGTAGGGACCTCTCCCTGCAACAGCCAAACATTCTGATGATTAAAGGACTAAAATCAACGGTCTTCAACTTGAATGAGAGAGTGGAATGACTGATGTTCAAGGCTCTTGAACGGTATCAAAGCTCCACTGAGCCATGATATATACACCCTCTGAAGAGCCCAAGATGGGTTTTGTGTAAGAACTCCCCTTCACGTCAAGCATTTTCCAAGTAGAGTCTGTACATACCCTGTACGGTGTCAGGTACATGTCTCCACAGTGCAGAACGCTCAACTAGCATCTTCCAAAGCCTACAGACTCTGTAGAGGAAGAGAACGGACATTCATCTCCAACACTGACGAGAGGCCACGGTCTCAGCCCGGGCCCTGCTGCCCTCCTCCATGGCTACAGGCCAGAAAGTGGTTGGATATCTTGTTCCAGGTGTGCTCTAAGCTTTCAGACCAATATGTCCCCTGTTAGTGCACTGGGACTGTGACCCATGGCTCTACAGCCTTCTGAGGGACTTTCCTCAGCTTCTAGGTACTTGCCCTTCAGAACGGTGAGAATATCCCTCCCCTGCACACTGGTCCATACCTGGAAATCCGAACCTCTTCTGTAATGCACAGAAATGAGAATGTCTTCAGCATCACAGAGACAGGCAATGCCAAGGTGATTACCAAGCTTTGCTCTCTGCCCGTTGTATGCATGTACTGTGATGAAGAAATTGAATCTTTTGCCTTCTTGGGTGAGTTGAAGGGTCTGAGGAACTGGAGAGTTGTTTAAATTTCTGGGGAGGTGACAGCTGGATTCTGGGTACTGTAGCCTCTTATTTTCCTAGGAGTCAGCCAGTGGAGAGGACAGAGCTTTGATTCAGATCTGAAAGAGAAATTCTGTGTTAATGCACGTATGTGACAACTGGGGAACAGGAGCCAATATCCAGGACACTTCACAATGCCCAAAAGATTCTCTATAAATATGAATTACCGACTGAGTTATCCAGAGCAGATGGGGGAGTCCAAGGACGGGGAAGGAAGATCTGGGGAAACCAGTAACGCACTGGCCATGGGGTTATGTTAGATTTTGCCTTCAAGGCAAATTTAGACTGAAACGTAAAATTATGTTTTACCTTTAGAGTTTTTATTCAAAGGAAACCTAGGGATGGCCAGGGAAACTCTACACATATGGGCAGGAAAGTCCTATGAGTGGGAAGGCAGACTCTCCATAGGCATCACTGAGCTTTGTCACGTTTCCAGGTGGCGGGCATCAAAGAGGGACATGGGTGAATGAGAGTCATAAATAAAAAGCAGCTCAGTAGCCGATTACTTCTTATATTATGAAAAATCCCAACTGGGTCCCACAACCTTCCCAAATGTCCTATGTTAAACAGTCATTATTTTGAGGCAGGAAGAAGTCCTCCTACAGCACAACCCTGACATTAATTTTTGTGCAAACTACTGCCATGAATTCATTGGGTTTAAGAATTCAACTCCATGAAAAAGACATGAAAAAAGAAACCAACACAGTAGCTATTAAAAAGGAAGAGGTAGGTGTGAAAAAGCAACTGAATATTAATATTCAAACCCTTTGCCTTGGAGCAAAACATCTTTAAAAGTTATCCAATAATTTGAGTAATGGATAGACAACAAATTATTAAAAACCTTAAGAACAGGACTTGAAAGTAGAATTAGAAGGATGGAAGACATTATAAGACAAGGGAAGAAGGAAAAATGACTTGGCAAAACTGCAAAACTTCCAAAAATAAAATAAAAATCACTTAAAAGAGACCACATTGGGAGAGAAGAGAAAGGAACAGACACTGCTGAAAAGTCACTCAATAATGTCACAGACAGGCTTAAAATGAGCAAAATGAAAAAGGATTAAGTAAAAACTATTGAAAGCTGTGAAAGACAAGTCTGCAACCTAGAAAATCCATGTCTGGTAAATACAACAAAGGAAATTATATGACAAAAAATAAGTTCATGAATTATTTCAAAAAGAAGTATTAGAACATACAAAAAAGGAATCTGTGAATGTGTTAAAATGCAGTGTTTGGAAACACATATATAGAGCAATACAAAATAAAAGTGCCCCCATCCCCATAAAGTGTGTAATTCACAGAGGAAGAATGATCTGATGATCACAGTAAAAACTCAAATGAGGTATAAGAGGACATTCACTGAACAAACTGTGACCCGTGGGAATGCCTGCAAAATCTTCAGGGGAACCAAATGTAACCTTTAATCCTATAACCAAGTAAACTCTTCCTCAACTACCACAGGAGATAGATTCAGGGAAGATTTGGGGGCGGGGGGGGCGTCTGGGTGGCTCAGTCTGTTAAGCTTCTAACGCTTCAGCTCAGGTCATGATCTTGCAGTTCACAGATTTGAGCCTCAGGTCAAGCTCTGTGCTGACAGCTCAGAGCCTGGAACCTGCTTTGGATTCAGTGTCTCCCTCTCTGCCCCTCCCCTGCTGGCACTCTGTCTCTTTCTCTCTCAAAAACAAACAAACAAACAAACATACATACATACATACAATGTAGCTATATAAGCAAACTTCAGAAGCAATAAAACTAATTTAATGGTTCCAAGTTATCCATTCATTCACACAACACTGTACTAACCAAGTTCACACCCAACCAGGAATAGTTACAGTCTTTGGTGACTTCAGGATGGGTGATTACACAGCTCAGCCCCTCCCTCGAGATCTCTTAAAATAGCCCCTGGGAAGAACCCCTCTGCTTCCTCAACATCACCCCAACATTCCTTAGAGCACTGCTCCCCATTCAGACTTCCCAGCCCTTCCCAGGCTATCTGAACGTAGCTGCTGAGGTCTCAGGTGCAACACTTGTGTCCTCCATACCAAACCATGTTCTCTAGCAGACGTGTCAATAAAAATGACTGGTATCTATACCCATCCACCTGTCTTCCTTTTATTTCAGAACTGCAGTCTGGAAAAACGGTATTAAGTGAGCTCCCTCAAATCCCAACATCAGTGATGGGCCAAGCTACTCCAGGTGCTAGGGAGATAGCAGTTTACAGGTTACCCAAAAGAGTCTTGCCTTCTTGCCTCCTACCTTCTAGCAATACATAGATTGGAAAGCAAAGGCAGAGAATACAAGAAAATAGCTTTAAATATTAAAGAAGTATAAAACCAGAAGAACTATACCTTTCAAATTAATACTGTAAAAACCTATAGAAATAGAAAATTATTTAATACTGTAAAAACCTATAGAAATAGAAAAACCTATTGATCTCATTTGATCACAAATCAAAATTCAATCTTTCATAACCTTTAACATCTGGCACATCCAAAGCTATTCAGAAAAGGTGAAAATAGAAGAACGCTTATAATTATTCCAGAATTTCATATATGAAAGCATCATACTCTCAAAGAGAAGATCTCCCTTTACAGTGCACAGTGGTCCCTGAATACAAAGGGCTTGTGACAAGGATGGAGGAAAATGTCACATTTATAAAACAAGGAATTTGCAACATCCCTATACACGATAAGCAAGACCAGAAGACTTGATAACCACAGAAGACATGAAATGCCAACTGAAAACTAAGTGGAAAGTCTCTCTTTTAAATAAAATTAGCATAAAATTTTTGAAAGGTACATTATGAAACATAGTAATAGTTGAATATATTACATAAAAGTACCAATGGAATTATTCACAGAAAATGTTATCTTAAATATTTAATTAAAGATTAAAATAAATGATACAAGCACCTACCTCAGGAAAAGAAATAAAATGAAAAGATTACTTGAGGAAACCCACAGAAGGGAGTAGGGAGAAGCAGGAAAGAAATTACTTCTAAGTGAAAAAAAAGTGCAGTAAAAACAGAAAATGTAGATCAATGTGTTCAGTGGAACCTGCTGTGATGAAGGAAATGCACTGTTATCTACATTATCCAACACAGCAGCAACTAGATCTATGTCGTTACAGGGCACCTAAAATCTGGGGCACCTGGGGGGCTCAGCAGCTTAAGCACCCAACTTTGGCTCAGGTCATGATCTCGAGGTCACGGGGTCTGGGTCCCATGCTGGGCTGTGCTGACGGCTCAGAGCCTGGACGCCGCTTTGTTTTCTGTGTCCCCCTATCTCTCTGCCCTTCCCTCCCTCATGCTCTCTCAAAAATAATGCTCTCTCAGATGGGATTTTCTGCTCATTTCTTGAGAACACTCTCCTATCCCAGTGAAGCCCACACATTCTGCGGCAGCAGTGCGTCTATGCACTGGACTGATCGTCCCTTGAAGACACAAACCCGTCTCTGCTGATACCTTTCATTTTCTCTGCTCCTGAATTTCTCAAACTCTGCCCTTCCTGGACCCCCATCTCCCCAAACAGCACTCTAAGTCCTTCTATAGGCTCCCTTCACAGAGCCAAAGCACTTCCTCCTTCCCGGAGAGATACTTTTGTTCCATATTTGGCTAAAAAAGGCTGGGACCAGGGGCGCCTGGGTGGCTCAGTCCTTTGGGCGTCCAACTCTTCATTTCAGCTCAGGTCATGATCTTGAGGTTCATAGGATCGAGCCCTGTGTGGGCTGTGCACGGACAGCATGGGAGTCTCTTTATTTCCCTCTCTGCCTCTCCCCCGTTCACACGGGCTTATGGACTCTGTCTCGCAATAAATTAATCTGAAAAAAAAAAACCCAAAAAAGTCTGATCCCCTTCTTGTCAAGCTGCCTTGTGACTCCCTGCACGTACACTGGGGCAGGCGAAGAGGTCAGGAGGAGAGGCCAGTAGAGCCGAACTGTCCTCACGGGAATCACAGGGTCTGGGTGGGATGCTGGCAAGGCTTGCACTTCTCACTCCTACTCCTAAAATTGACAGATCGCATATCGGGCTCCTGAGCAAGAGCCACTTCTCTTTCATGGTTTCAATCACAACCTCAAATGTTTAACTCCTCTTTTGCAGAACATCACAATAAACTACCAAAAAATGTGTAATTAAGACCTAATTAGTAGCACTATAAAACATGGAAGAAGGTCGGCAATAGAAACAGCTGAGTAATTTATCCAATTATGAACAGATGGGCTATTTTTCAACAAAGTTACACAATAATCCAACTCATCCTTGGTCATTTCCAGAGAAAGGACACAGGAAATATATACATACTTGACTGGGAACTAGTTCACAGCTCACTAGGTTAAAAGACCATATAAGAAGAGAAAGAAGATAGGGAATAATAGACTAATTGGTTAAAACTAGGTTTTGACTGTTAATATTAAAAAATTACCAATATCCTTATCAAGAGCACATTGAAAAAGTGTACAATTATTTACTAAGCACCAGATTACTTTCAACATATAATAACTATAAAGCCATTAAGACCTCATCATTTGAATCTGACACAATACATTTAAAAGGGGATAAACGTTGGAAATTAAAAACAAAATTCTAATGAATTTGGGATCTACCCTTCTTTTGCCCCCATGGCAACTGTTGCTCAACTCCGCCCCCTTCTGTTCTCTTCCACGTCTCTGATCTTTTTTAGGGGTCACTTTCATTTACTCCACTGTTTCTAGCTCATGTCATGCTCTTACTGTTACTTGGTCTTAAAAGCCCATGGAACCCACTTCCCTATCCGCAATTTCACAGCTGCTTTTTCCTTTTCTTTTTAAGAATTTTAAGTGTTTATTTTTTTGGGGTGGGGGAGAGAGAACTGGGAAGGGGCAGAGACAGAGGAGGGCACAGAATCCGAAACAGGCTCCAGGCTCTGAGCTGTCAGCACAGAGCCCGATGTGGGGCTCGAACCCACTAACCGCGAGGTCATGACCTGGGCCGAAGTCTGACGCGTAACCGACTGAGCCGCCAGGCGCCCCTCACAGCCGCTTCTTCTCCTCACTCTCCTTGGCTGCACCTCCCTGGTCTCTCTCTTTCCCCTCATCCCCCCGTCCCACCCCCACATTCACGAGAGGAGAATGAAGATGCTCCTGCCCGGGGAAGCACCCTTTCTGGGGGCTCATCGGGAATGTAAACACTACCCGACAGGCACAGCCAGCAGGATGGGGTGGACAGAACAAGGGGTGTCACAGGACAGCGGCGCGGGAAAGCCCCAGCCGGGGCCTCGGGGCCTCCCTGAGGAACTGACTGCGCGGACTGCAGGGAGCAGCGGGGCCGGCCGGGGAAGGCGCGGAAGGGGGAGAGGCACCCGGAGGGGGCTGGGGTCTGCACAACCGGCGTCAGGAGAGCAGGGCGTCCTGGTGGTGCCGCGAAGGGCAAGAATGCACCTCGCAAGTGGGGACTGGCACGCGCGGGACAGGGCGCCGAGAGAGTTGGGGGAGCCGCTGAAGAGAACGGAGGCAGCTGGGGTGGAGACGGCCTGGGAGCCAGGTTACCGGAAACAGACGCGGATCCAGTGCGGCAGCACAGCGTCTCCGGACCCGGCCGGGCTCCCCGCGGGCGGGGCTGGCGGATGAGGGGACTGTGAAGTTCGCGGGCCCCCGGACTCCGGGTGCGGAGGACGGCACGCCGTGGGCATCAATGTGCCAGCCGCACCGAGAAACGCCGAGACCCGCTCCGTAACAGGAGCCCTTCCATCCGGGAAATCTGCTTCCGGGTCGGCCGGAAACGGCGAGCTCGGATGGGGCGGGGCCCGGAAGGAGGGGGCTTGGGCGTGGCTTGTTCGCATGTACGCCCCGCCCCCGGGGCGTTTCCCCTCCGCACGTTCTTCCGCCCGTAGAACTGGGGCCAGCGTTTGCACCCAGGTGGATGTGTTGAGTGGCGTTTGGGGCCGGGCTGCCGCACCTTACGCCAAGTTAAACGAATCACATACGCTCAGGTCAAAGCTTAGCGTTGGGGCGCCGGTAATACCGGATGCGGAGCTGTTTCCTTCGCAACAACGTGGGAACGCACCTGAGTCTGCGGCCCGGCGGGGACTCCGGGGCGGCGGGGAGGGCGGGCCAGGGACGTCTGTGGCTCCGCCTCCTATGTTGTGGTTTCCTTTCCGGTGACAGTGGGAACGCTGAACTCACTTGTGAGAACCGCGAAAATATACCCAGACCCCCGCGGAGGGTAGCTTCGGTTTCTCCTCCGTGTGGGCAGCAGGCACAGGGACACACGGGCTCAGGACCGGGCGTGAGGATGCTGGCTGAGGCCCTCGTGCTGCTGCGCGGGGCTTGAGAAGGTGTGTAAAGTCACACACCTTTTTTTAATTAATTAATTTATTTAAATAGTTTATTGTCAAGTTGGTTTCCAAATAACACCCAGTGCTCATCCCCACAAGTGCCCTCACCTTTGAGAGAGGTAGGCATGACATCTTGCAAGTTGCTGGAGTTACTATTTTCTCACTATTGTAATTTCACATTTTTCTTTATTTTGTAGGTACTACTCGAAAGCATTTTTAATTTAAAAAAAAATTTTTTTTTTTACAAATAGTTTATTGTCAAGTTGGTTTCCATATAACACCCAGTGCTCATCCCCACAAGTGCCCTCCTCCATGCCCATCTCCCCCTTCCACATCCATCAGTCCTCAGTTAAAAATATCTGTATTTTTTTTCTGTCTCCAAATATTTTGTGTTGAGGACGGGCAAGTATTTATTTTTCATTATTTCCATATAGGTCTCACTGAAATGTCTCTTTTCTGACAAGAACACTAAAAAGCATAGTTAAAACTGGATTTTCAAATTTTAGTTGCCTCATTTATACCCTTACAAAATTCTCATGGAAAATGTGTGAGTGAAAATCTTCTTGTTTCCTTTTTATTTATTTTATTTTATTAATAGTTTATTGTCAAGTTGGTTTCCATATAACACCCGGTGCTCATCCCCACAAGTGCCCTCCTCCACGCCCATCACCCCCCTTCCCCTCTCCCCCACCTCCATCAGCCCTCAGTTTGTTCTCAGCATTCAAGAGTCTCTCACGGTTTGCCTCCCTCCCTCTCCCCCACTATTTTCCCCCCTTCTTTTCCCACATGGTTCTCCGTTAAGCTTCTCCTGATCCTCCTATACGTGCAAACGTATGGTATCTGTCCTTCTCTGCCTGACTTATTTTGTCTATACCATGGAATACTACATGGCAATGAGAAACAATGAAATCTGGCCATGTGTAGCAACATGGATGGAACTTGAGGGTGTTATTCTGTTTCCTTTTTAAATTCTGAAATTCATGCTAGAGGAAATTTGGCAAGACTAAATCTGAACTATTCAGGCTGCAGGATTTCTCAAAGATTATTTACAGAGAAGAGCCCTTCTGGTTTTCTCATAACGCTTATTTCTCCAACTTTTACTTTTTAAAAAAATATTAAATATTTGGACTCAAATGGGTTTAAGTTCTGGAAGATAACATTCTCCTAGGCAGGGCAACTGTGAACAGACTGTGGTTTTTATAGAGGGAGCTGGGGAGCCCTGCCCACATCTCTCTTGGTCTCCAGGGAAGAGGTCACTTAACCTGAGTTCACCTCACTCCTCTCACATCTGTGAGGAGCTGGACACATTAAGGAGAGATCAAGGAATCCAGATACACGAACCCCTCCCCCATTTAGTCTTCTTTTATCCCCCTCTCTCTTTACATAGAAGTCAAGTGATGCAGGTCCACCAGAATCAACCATCCAGCCTCCAAGCCACCTGCTCCATCAATTCTTCTGTGTTCTGCTTTATACATAGAGTGCTTCCGGAGGCTGGAAATCGACTGAAGTGATTTTTCTTGGGTGCACACATTGATGCGTATTCTTGGGAAGCTCCTTATGAAAAGGTGAGCCAGTAAGATGGGGTCTTAGTAAACCAAGGTCTTCCCACACCTCTGAATCTCTTTCCCTGACTCAGAATTAGATCCAATGAAAGCTGAGGAGTGAAAAGAAAAGAAATGAGACCACATGAAGTATAATTTCTTCTATTTCTGTTTTCACTATATTATTACAGTGAAAACACATTTTCCAAGCATCCCTTAGAGACACAACCCCATGTAATCACAATGACTGTAGGTTGGAACTTTGATGAGGGTTTCTCCGATGGCCTGATGGGTAGGTGGCCCCTCTAGAAAGGAATGCATGTGTAGGGGAGCCTGTGCCCACATCATCCCAGGGACGATGATGCCTTCCCTCTTGGGGGTGTCTCTGCTTCTAGTACCTTTGCCCGTCAAGTACCTTGAATGTTCTAACATCTGGGAGCCTCCAACCAAGAGCAGAGATGCGCTATGAGTCAAACTAGGGAGCTCCTGTGGAATGAAGCAGTTGTTTTGTTGGGTTTAGGGTGGTGGAATGAAGGAGCTTAAGCCCGGAGATTGATTCCCCTGCATGGGGGCATGAGCACACGAGGGGTGTAAAGTGTGAAGTCTGAATATGGTGCCCCCAGTGTTGAGACATCTGTTATCCCTTTGTCCTGAGATTCTGCTGAGACCTTTGGAATTCTCAATACCATTTGTCTCACTGCTTTCATGATGAAGATATGTTCATGTATGGACGTGTATATGAATGCTCTAACCATGCCATGTTGAAAGTGAAGAGAACAACCCAGGGGTAGAAAGTAGAGGATGACGAAGACAAACAGTGAGTTTGTGATGAAAATCCTTTGGTGGACGACCCTGACATCTAGACTCAGTTACACACTTTAGAGGCCCCAGAGCTCCGTGTCCTAGGGGATCTCAAGTCATTTCCGGGACAGGCCCTCATGCACAGGGCAGCACAGACTCACCCACAGACACCAGGTTGTTCTTATCTTCAGGGCCATGTTCAGGACTCTGTGCAGAGTCCTCAGAGAAGGGATCAGAATGCCCACGTACTCCTGAGGGAAGTTCACAGTCACTCTTCGAAGGAGATCTCTTCCTGAAAGAGTATGGGTTCCTGCTCAGTCAGGGATCATTTAATTACAGTATTTACGGAGGAAGAATGACTTTAGCCGATTGAGGAGAGAATGCAGGTTGGCTCTGGAATTGTCATAGGAGTATCAGGATTCCAAAGAACGTAGTCAAGTTTTATGGGTACCTTTAAGGGTGTTCGCGTCTGTTCCCTGATGGATGTGAGGCTCTGCTCCCCCAAACACTGTCACATTGTATTTCCTCATTAGATGCCTGCATATGTCCTCTGGTCAGGGTGGGCAGTGAGAGCTAGAGTCAGCGTCGTTTGGTATAGGGGTCGCTGAGGGGTAAGCTCTGATGGCCGAGTCTTCACCTGATTTGCGGACACCCAGTGATGCCCAGTGACATTGGCCATGCATGGGCACAGGTCACAGACTAGCCTGTGCTCCTCACAGAACCAAACTCTGCCCCTTTGGCACATGTATGAGTAGAGTTTCCATCTAAAACCTGCACATGTGCCCAAGGTCTCCCTAGGAGAGCCCCTTACCCCCAGTTCTGCTATCTTCAGCATCAGCGTGGTTTTTCTACTAACTTGGCTCTGGAACATTCAACTAGTGACATGGTGCTATGGACTGAACTGTGTCCACCTTTCCCAAACGCATTATGTTGAAGCCCTTCCCTCCATTGTTTAGAGATGGAGTCTCTTAGAGGAAATTACGGTCATGTGAGGTCATGAGGGTGTTAGACAAAGTCACTGCAAGGACGTGACTACTGTTTGACTCACAGACTGGACCTTGGCTGTCGAAAGCTCCCCACACCTTTCCCTGTCCTTGGAATGTACTTCCCACTGTTCCCATACTAGAAGCCACTTCAAGGATGCAGCTTTGAGGGAGTAACATGTTGAGACCATCTGATGGTAGATGTGACTGAACCTCTTTAAGGCCTCTCTATACAAATACTCTGGTGACTGATATTCAGATTGACTCATTTTGCAGCTGCCCAAGTCAGGCCTCACATGTAAGTTCCCTTTGCTAATTAAAGCTGTAACCTACCAATCTGGAGTGGTCTGCTATTTTCTTTGGTCTTTCCCTCACCTCCATATATGGGGGTCACCTTCGAATTTTACCCAGGAAGTCCTGAGGTTGTGAGCCAACAAACCAATGGAGGGCAGAACCATTATTTGCGGATTAGTGTCTTTCTATGAAGAGGAGGAAGGATAGGACTCTCTAGGAAGTAATTAGGTGCTTGCTGCATCCTTCCCTCCTCAGTCCAACAGGCCCCTCCATAGCACCTGAGGTTAGACGCTGTCCCCTCAGTTGCCCTTGGTCACTCTCCTCAGAGGAGGGGGAGACCAGATGGTACTGTATATGTCCACACCAGGATATAGGGACAGCGTTCCTCAGAACTCTTTAAGACATGAAGACCCTGACCATGAGGGGCTGGCTTCTCAGGAGGCTGGAATGAGGGAGCTGTGTGAACTTGGGGCTCCACTGTTCATTATCTAATCTCTGGAAGCCCATGTGGAGGGACTGGCCTGGAACATGGCTGGGCAGTGGAGGATGGGGCAAGGCGCAGGCCTGGATAGTACTTAGGTGAGGGCTCCCAGGGGGAGGCTGGAGGCCAGGGGTTGGCTTCGTGGTCTTTGGGACTAAATCCATTTCTATTGAAGGGATTCTGGAGAGTCTGTAAAGCCCCCCAGATCATACTCCCCTGAAGGTCTGGAAGGGGCTGAGATTCCATTTATTTGAGGGATTCAGCCAAGTCTGGATGGATGGGGATCTGGGCAGATCTCTCTCCTGG